GGGAGATGAGATTATGAACAGATTGTCTAGAACCCCAGGTTGGTGGCGAAAACAGGTTGCTGCTGCAGATTCAGTGTCTGGGGGTTGGGATACACCAGGAGACTTGTAGACACTTTTGTGAGTTTTGGCAAGAAACACTAGGATCATAAATGCCGTGGTGAAATTCCTGAGGGTGGTACCTAGTCCTAAGAGGGATGTGGACAAGTCAATGTCTAGTGGGTATGTTTGTTAGTAGGTGGGAATCCTGTGGTGGCAGCAGTGGAAAAGGGGGGTCTGTTATCAGAACTTTTTCCCTCTAAATTTGTATCCTCTCTCACCCTGGGTGGAGTCCTGAAATCACAGGGTAATGGGCAGTGTGATGGCCTGTGTAGAGAAAAGCGAGCCTCCCATTCCCAGACACCCATAGATCCATTCCAGACCAGGCCTCTGTGATATCTCTCAGCTGAAACCAAATTTGTAGAGCTTAGTAAACACCAAGCAATTCTCCAACACCAACTCATTGCCTAACATTTGAATTCTGACACCACCTAGAGTCAGCACAGACCCTGATTCAGGGCTCAGTCTCACAACATTGTTCTTACTGCAGATGCCAGTCACAAACCTCATGGGCCCATCTGTTTCTGAGCTACTGTTCAAAAACTGGATACTCTTATAACCTTCCTCAAGTTCAATAATATTATAGAGCTACTCACAGAACTCAGGAAAACATCAGTTACATTTATCAGTTCATCAGAAAAGATACAATCCAGGAAAACTCAGAAAGAAATACCCTTCCCATTATGACTTAGATGGTGTTCTCTTTTCTTACCTATCACACAGCCAGAGACAGACTCTGCACACTATCTCCTTTTTCTCATTTAAATAAATAAATAAATAAATCAGCTGAATTTGTTTTTAGTGGTCAACCTAAAATACTTCTTAATCAAGCATTACTTAAGTTTATTTCCTTTCAACAGGCTTCTGAACTTTTAGCTACCCCCAGTCTGAGTCGACATACAACCCCATTTTATGTAGTTCCTAAGAACATGACGACTTCAGGGTAAAACATTCTCTGATCTAAGATCTCATTTTTTCACCCTCCCTTTGCCATCACCTCCCACCTCCTAATATTGTTTGCTCTTCCATATGAAACAAGGCCCTTGTCTGCCTAAACTTTGCAATCTTTAAAGATCTTATAGTTAGTACATCCTCCTCTTGCAATACTCTTTTGGAATTCAATTATTTTCCAACATAAATCTAACTTTGTTTTACCTTACAAAGTCTAGAAACTACCTCAAAACAGTAACAATTTCATCTTCAGTAAGACCCTCCCAATCCCCTTTCATCTTAACCTTAACTGCATCTGGCTGTGGGTCTCCAACTTTCCACGGCTCTGTAGCTTCTCTCAGGATAAACACTTCTTCCATGGCTGGGGTGAGCAGGCTGGAATATCTGCAGAGAAGACTCCCCCAAAAAAACTAAGTGATCCTTTAATAATCTCCTTTTGCAGGCTCAGTATTAGCCTTAGCTTAATTAGAGTCACTGGGTTCAGGCTTTAATTTTCTTTTTTTCTTTTTTTTTTTTTTTGAGACGGAGTCTTGCTTTGTCGCCCAGGCTGGAGTGCAGTGGTGCAATCTCAGCTCACTGCAATCTCCAACTCCTGAGTTCAAGCAATTCTCCTGCCTCAGCCTCTGAGTAGCTGGGGACTACAGGTAGGCACCACCACGCCCGGCTAATTTTTTGTATTTTTAGCAGAGATGGGGTTAGCCAGGATGGTCTCGATTTTCTGACCTCGTGATCCGCCCGCCTCGGCCTCCCAAAGTGCTGGGATTACAGGCGTGAGCCACCGCGCCCAGTGTCAGGCTTTAATTTTCATGTCAGAGTTATTCACATAGTTTTTGAAACTAAGTGTTTGAAAAATTCAGCAGAATTACTCTAACACAGTGTTCATGTAAGGGAAGGAAATTTTAAGGTGCTTACATTTTATACTGCAGTAAGATAAGCAAAAGTATCTATTCCTTTCAGACAGTAAATGTATTATTTTACTATTTCCATTAAAAATCCTGTAGTAAACAATTAGTCATATGGGAACATTTCTAGAGGGTACAAAGTTTCAGCTCATAAAATTTAGCATGAAACTCAGATAGCAATATTAACAGGATATAGAATACAGACATTCATAGTTACAAATTTACCCTGCAAAAAGAGGAACTGATCTTTTCCCGAATCTACGTAACTCAACAATTATCTACCATTTTCTTGTGGATATGTGTGCATTTTCTGAAGCCAAAATGGAAGACAGATTTTTCCTATTTCACCCAGCCATAAAAAACAGACCAGAGAAAATTCCTAAACTCATTCTGGGAAAAGGGTAAATAAAAATTTTTAACAAATGGAATATACAATTAAATATTTATTCTGAAATTCACCTCTTTTTTGCCCTTGGTAAATATTTTCTTACCTTTCTTTCAATCCCTAGTAACAAAATGCAATTTACCGTTAAAAAACTGAGGTCAAAATAAGCGAACAAATCTTTTCAAGGTACAGATGTGTCTGATTCATGTATCAAGTCAGGCCATCCAATCACTTGAGAGATTCTCCCACTTCATTCTGCTCACTTAAGTGCCCAATAACCCCTTCTCAGGAGACTCTGAACTAAGCCCCAGTGAGCCCCAGGTGCATTTTACTTTGCAAGTTCTTACACCATCTCACTGGGATCACTACTTGTTTTTTTTTTTTTTTTCTTCTTCTTTTGGGATATTATTTTTGTTTTCACAGATTCTCACTATTTTTCTTTCACTATTTTTTCATTATATTTCTTTCACTATTGTTCTGCCCCCTTAGAGAATGCAGGGGGCAGAAATTATTTCAATGTTTTTCCCGCAATACCAGCAACTGATTGGCTGACCAGCAAGAAATGGAAGCTGGGTTGGGTGAAGACAATCTTAATGTCTCAAGGGTTAGCTTTTGGAAGGAAGAGTAAGCCAGGAGATTCCTCTCAACCCCAGGGCATCCCCCTGCTTCCTTGAAAGGCTACACTCCATACCTCAGATTGTCCCACAGGAGAAAATGACCAGGAGCTGATATTCACTAGACACTCTAGCAGACATAGCCATGGGGGATATTTCAGTTAATTCCCAGACAGTACTGAAACCCAGGACCAGGAAAAAAAGTGAAGAATGTCTGAAAACACATCATTCCATAAAGTTTTCAAAGCCTTTACCCCAAAACATTCTGATAAAATCTGTGGGCCTAGGAGGAAAAACAAAAAAACAAAAAATAATCAGGGGATTATTTTTGCTTTCTTCTCATGGGAAATATTTACAAACAGAAAACAAATATTAGGAAAAGTGCCATCCAATGCTTTGTTAAAAAAATAATTAAAATAAGGTATCAAAAATGTACACTAAAGGACAAATAGTAGGCCAGGCACGGTGGCTCATGCCTGTAATCCCAGCACTTTGGGAGGCTGAGGCGGGCAGATCACGAGGTCAGGAGTTCGAGACTAGCCTGGCCAACATAGTGAAACTCTGTCTCTACTAAAAATACAAAAATTAGCCGGGCATGGTGGTGCACGCCTGTAGTCCCAGCTACTCGGGAGGCTGAGGCAGGAGAATTGCTTGAACCCAGGAGGTGGAGGTCGTGGTGAGTCGAGATCAGGCCACTGCACTCCAGGATGGGCAACAGAGCAAGATTCCATCTCAAAAAAAAAAAAAAAAAAAAAAAAGGCAAATAGTAATGTGAATCAGAGAGGAAAAATTGACATTTGGGAAGGTAAGAATGAACTGGAAATTTTGTATTTTACTGCAAGCCAGCGTTAGGCTGCAGGAATTGGGGGTTGGGGAGTACACATAATACTCTCCTTGGGATACCTGTAAAAAATGCAGGGGGGGAAAAAAAAATTAGTCCTCTGAGGAGTGTGAAAATAATTAAGAATTAAGTGGCAGGCAATTAGAATGAGGTGGCTCTAGTCCCTGATATCTACTTTTTAAAAAATCTAAGTTGGCCGGGACCAGTGGCTCACACCTGTAATCCCAGCACTTTAGGAGGCCGAAGAGTGCGGATCACCTGAGGTCGGGAGTTCGAGACCAGCCTGACCAAAATGGAAAAACCCCGTCTCTACTAAAAATTCAAAATCAGCCCGGCGTGGTGGCACATGCCTGTAATCCCAGCTACTCGGGAGGCTGAGGCAGGAGAATCACTTGAACCCAGGAGGCGGAGGTTGCACTGAGAGGAGATCGCGCTATTGCACTCCAGCATGGGCAACAAGAGCAAAACTCCGTCTCAAAAAAAAAAGAAAAAAAATCTAATTCGAGAGTTTTTTTTTTTGGGGGGGGGTAAATTATACATTGGGGGAAACAAAACTCAGGTTTAACCAACTATAAACTACAAATAACCTCTGATTATATAAACGGGAAATTTCCATCTTGATTGTACAAATTGAGAAACTACGTAACTGTACATAGCCTATTATTGAATTTGGTTTTCTTCATTATACACCTTAAAAAACTCTTTCCGTCAAATCCCTTCCATAGACCATAAACTACAAACTATATAGCTGGGTGCTCTACCATTTTTGAATCACTCTTTGATTAAATTCATTACTTTAGTGGTGACTGGCATAAATTTTTAATAGAAGAAAAGAGGGACTGGAAACCTCACTGGACTGAAACTCTTCCCATTCATGAACCCGCACCCTGAGTCAGGATTCTCCCCTGACGCCCCTCCCGTGGTCCCTGCACAATCTGTGAGACGCGGCCCTGCGGGTGCGGAGCGGCCCAGAAAGGGCTCAAGGCCAGGGCACAGTCACAGCGCCTGGAGGAGACAGGTGGCCCGGGGTCCCGCAGTCAGCGCAGCCGCCATCTTATGGCTGAAGGGGACTGAGGCCGAGCTGGGCAAGAGGAACTCCAGGCGCAGATTGTGGAGCTGACTGCCGGGAGGCCTGAGTCCCGCCACAGCCACTTCCCACCGGTTCCAATCAGCCCCTTCCCCTTCTTGGGATGTCGGACCGGCACTCTCACCATTTCTAGGCTTCCAGGTGCACCTGGCATCTTAGCTGTGGAGCTCCCAACTCCGCAGGTTACAGGGCCACAGAGTATGAGGTCACAGAGCAGTCAAGACGAGACTGGAAACTGGCGCTGCAACGAGAAATAACCGCCGGGCCACCTCTCCGATGCCGCCTTTTCCGCTCCAGCTGTGTCCCTGATTGGACGGTTCCTAGACCAGAGTTCCTGATTGGATAATTCTTGAATCCCCGCCTCCTCAGACCCTGAGTGACAGAGATGTGATCAGATGCTGGACTGAATGAAGACTGATGGGCTGCGCGGTTGTTCACGGCTGTAATCCCAGCACTTTGGGAGGGAAGCCCAGGCGGGAGTTGGAGACCAGGCTGGACAACATGGCAAAACCCCGTCTCTACTAAAAATAAAAATTAGCGGGGCGTGGTGGCGGGCGCCTGTAATCCCAGCTACTCCAGAGGCTAAGGCACGAGAATCGCTTGAACTCGGGAGGCGGAGGTTGCAATGAGCCGAGATCACCCATTCTGGGTGAGAGAAAAAGAGTCTGCCCCCCGCCAAAAAAAAAAGAAAGAAAAAAGTGACAGTCTAGGCTGCAGCAGCCTTTTCAGGCAGGGCTTCCTCCCTGAACTAAGTAAGCCAGGCCAACCCCAGAGGGTATTTGCATTTAACCTTTTGTATAAGGTCACATTCTTTTATAAATGATACGTTATATGGATATTCACAAATGAAAATAATATAATAACAATTATCTAAAATTTTCTGATTTTATGTCCTTCCTGACTTCTGTTTTCTTTCATCAGATTTCCTGAGGTTTTAAAAAGAAGGCAGTCCTCTGAAATAAAATGTGAGCTACATGTGAATTTTAAATTTTCTAGTAGCCAAACTTTAAAAAGAAAAAACAAACAGGCCGGGCGCGGTGGCTCAAGCCTGTAATCCCAGCACTTTGGGAGGCCAAGACGGGCGGATCACGAGGTCAGGAGATCAAGACCATCCTGGCTAACACGGTGAAACCCCGTCTCTACTAAAAAATACAAAAAAACTAGCCAGGCGAGGTGGTGGGCGCCTGTAGTCCCAGCTAGTCGGGAGGCTGAGGCAGGAGAATGGTGTAAACCCGGGAGGCAGAGCTTGCGGTGAGCTGAGATCCGGCCACTGCACTCCAGCCTGGGCGACAGAGCGAGACTCTGTCTCAAAAAATAAATAAATAAATAAATAAATAAATAAATAAATAATTCTTGTACAAATACTTTTTGGAATATAATTAAATTCCTTTAATAGCATTTAAGTGACACCTCATTACATTTCTTAGTGGTTTCTTCATGAATAACTATATGCATCTATAACAGATCACGATCTACCTAGAGTTTATACTGTACTATTTTAATAAATGTAAAATATGAAAAACTTGCTGTTGAAGAGTTTTAATTACTTCCTTCTATTCTTTGTGCTATTCATACATTTTACATCTACACATATCTCACAATACTGTGTTATAATTTTTCCTTAAATAGTCATAAGTGTTGTAAAGAAATTGAGAGGAAATAGTGTTTATAAATATTTGGAGGTAGACATTTTGGCGCTATTACTTTGGGCTATTTATAAATATTTGGGGCAGGCCGGGCGCGGTGGCTCAAGCCTGTAATCCCAGCACTTTGGGAGGCTGAGATGGGCGGATCACGAGGTCAGGAGATCGAGACCATCCTGGCTAACACGGTGAAACCCCGTCTCTACTAAAAAAATACAAAAAACTAGCCGGGCGACGTGGCGGGCACATGTAGTCCCAGCTACTCGGGAGGCTGAGGCAGGAGAATGGCGTAAACCCGGGAGGCGCAGCTTGCAGTGAGCTGAGATCCGGCCACTGCACTCCAGCCTGGGCAGCAGATCGAGACTCCGTCTCAAAAAAAAATTAAAATATTTGGGGCAGATACTTTGGGGCTAACAGAAACACTATTTCTCTTTTAAATTTTACCCACAATGTTTGCATTTTTAAGTACGTCTTGTCTACAGTAATTACTACTGTGGTGTCTTAGTGGTGATTTTCTATTTTGCATTATCTTCTACATTGATTAGTACTTGGAATTTTGTAAAGAAAATGTTTTCTCTTTTTTTCTACTTCTTTCTCTTCCTTCCTTCTTTCCTTCCTTCCTTCCTTCCTTCCTTCCTTCCTTCCTTCCTTCCTTCCTTCCCTCCCTCCCTCCTTCCTTTCTCTCTCTCTCTCTCTCTCTCTTTCTTTCTTTCTTTCTTCTTTTCTTTCTTTGATGGAATTTCCCTCCAGTTGCCCAGGCTGGAGTGCAATGGCGTGATCACAGCTCACTGCAACCTCTACCTCCCAGGTTCAAATGATTCTCCTGCCTCAGCCTCCCAAGTAGTTGGGATTGCAGGCATGCACCACCACGCCCGACTAATTTTGTATTTTTGGTAGAGACTGGTTTCTTCATGTTGGTCAGGCTGGTCTCGAACTCCCAACCTCAGGTGATCTGCCCGCCTTGACCTCCCAAAGTGCTGGGATTACAGGCGTGAGCCTCGGTGCCCGGCCTTCTTTTTTTCTTATTTGTATTTTTCTCTATGGATTCATGGATTTTTTTTTTCTAGGTTTTAATCCAATGCCAATAATTTTTATTGTATTTTTCACATTTTTCCAGCTTGGGCTCCTGGGAAGTCTTTCAGGTTGATTTTCTCTGACATGACTGCTTCTGTTGTTCATAAAGCACTTTTAAACTTTTTGAATTAGCAATACACTACCTTAACTTGGATTTTCCACTCCAGTGCTAGAATTATCTCTTATTACAAGTAGTCTTGCTTTTTTTTTGTTGAGGAGTGGTACTTACAAACCATGATATGAGAGCTAGGCGTGCCCATTATTACTGGGGTGTCACTGCTTCTGCAACCTCACAGCAAACAGTGTTTGAAAAGGTGCATATTAATATTGACTCCTGTATAACACATCTCTGTCTCTCTCTCTCAATAGATACGTTATGATACATGCATTTATCAAGATATTCTCAACTACAGTCTAGAATTCTCTTTTTTTTAACTTTAGGGAGAAGCAGGCACTAGTTATATTATATATGTATATAATAACATAGAGTGCTTTTAAAAATTGCTAATCTATACACTTATAGATGAGCAATACCAACCAGAACACAATGTTTGTGTTCAGTTCTTGAGTCTTGCAGTATTTAATCAAAATACTGTTATTCAAAGTGATTTACACCAAGTCCTTTCATTCCGACCTTCTTCAAGAGGGTTAGGTGATAAATTTCTAGTAAGGGTAAACTCTTTTTACTTCCTGCATTTTATCTGAATTTTCCCCAAATCCTTGTTGTTTATAATTTGCAGAGAGGAACATTCCTTCTTTGTGCTGTACAGTTCTATAGGTTTTGAAAGCTGTCTAGAGTCGCATAGCCATCTTCAGAGTACCACACAGAACTTCGTTGCCCTCAAAATTATCTGATGCTTCCTATTTGTAGTTAACTCTACACTCTTTGGCAATCAGTGATTATTCTTTTTTTATTCTTCTTTTGTAGGGAGGTCTTTCTATGTTGCCCAGCCTGTTCTCAAAATCCTGGACTCAAACAATCCTCTCACCTCAGCCTCCCAAAGTGCTGAGATTATACACTTGAGCCATCAAGCCTGGCCTGATTATTATGAATCCCTATAATTTTATTTTTCTACAATGCCATATACTTGGGTTATATAATTTGTAGTCTTTTAGATCTTGCTTTCTTCAATTAAAGAAATGCATTTGTGACTCATATATACTGCTATACTGTGATTTTTTTTTTTTTTATTGACAACTAGGATTCTATTGTATGGATGCACTGGTTTGTTTATTCATTCACCTGTTGAGAACCATCTTGTTTACATCCAGCTTTTTGCAACTACAAATAAAGTGATCAATAGATATCCACAAAAAGTTTCATTTCAGCATTGGTTTTCAGTTTGCTTTAGTAAGACCTAGCAGTGGGATGGCTTGATAACATAGTAAGTGTTTGCTCAACTTTATAATAAACCACTAAACTATTTTCCAAAGTTACTGTAACATTTCATATTTCTACTTCTAGTTAATCCAAATTTTCATTGACAGTCTTTGAAATTTTTCTTTTCATGATTGCCATTTTCATAATTGTGTGCTATCTCATTGTTATTCATGCTTTATTTTTTTCCATTTCTGTTGGGAAACCCGAATTTTATAATCAATGCAGAAAGAAATGTATAAAATGCTTAGGGATTAGCCTTGGATTCTGGAAACTGACTTCCAGAAATCTGCTATGCAATTAGAGCTTTACAAACATTAAACAAAAATTATAGTTTATTCTTTGTGTCCTTTGTTCCTTCCTTCTTTCCTTCCTTCCTTCCTTCCTTTTCTTTCTTTCCTTCTTTCTTTCTTTCTTTTTTCTGAGATGAGGTCTTGCTCTGCCGCCACGGCTGGTGTGCTATGGCGCGATCTCCACTCACTGCAACATCTGCCTTTTGAGTTCAAGCGATTCTCATACCTGAACCTACTGCGAACCTGGTATTATAGGCAAATGCCACCATGCCCAGCTAATTTTTGTATTTTTAGCAGAAATAGGGTTTTGTCATGTTGGCCAGGCTAACCTAACCTCAAGTTATCCACCCTTCTTGGCCTTCTTTTCCTTTCTTTCTTTTGAGAAAGATTCTCTCTCAGCCAGGCAGGAACACAGTGGCATGACTGCAACTCACTGCAACTTCAACCATCTGGGCTCAAGCAGCTTTCTCACCTCAGCCTTCTGAGTATCTGGGACACCACTCATGTGCCACCATGCTCAGCTAATTCATTATTGTTATTTTTAGAGGTGAGGTCACACTATGTAGCCCAGGCCTGTCTCAAACTCCTGAGCTAAAGTAATCCCCCCACCTCAGCCTCCCAAAATTCTGGAATTACGGGCAGGAGCCATCACATCCACATTGATGTTTTATTTTTTATATCAAAATATGAAAAATAGCATTGATGTCCATAAATAGACTCCAAGAAAATGTTATACATATTAAAAAAGTAATTTCCAAAGCAAATACTAAAATTGAAAGCAATTGAAATAAATAAAAATAACTAAATATTATATAGATAATATGACCAGAAAGAGAAAAGGTTAGTTTTTCTGACTTTATTTATTTATTTTCCAGCATCATTTA